TATATATATATACATACATTCCAGAACTAAGCTAAGGGTTGCTGCCAATAGCAATTATAAACCACATATGAAATAACGTTTGTATAAATCTTTTCAGCACATTTTACAAGCCTCTAGCTTACTCAGATTTGGCACATTCTCCCGCAAAATAACAGTACATCATAACCGCTCTGTCAGGCGACCCCAAAGCTTAGAAACTCGCGCAATTCTCTGGTCATTCCACTCAGCATTGACTGAAATACTCTACTCCGTAGGATCTGGCAAGACGTGCCTTCTAGAGATTCTAGGCAATCGAATGAGGAATGGCAAGACAGTTGGCAGTGTCGTGCTTAACGGCAACCTTGGCACAACTAGCGACCTCTATAAGAAGGTGGCGCACGTACGTAAGGAGACACACCTCGTGCCCTACCTCACTGTCGCGCAGACCCTCAAGTTCTTCCTCATGTTTAAGAAGCCGGAACACATGGGCTGGAAAAGCAAGTCAGCCATGGTGAGTATATACGCAACGCCAGCAGGCATAGTATGCATTTCAGTTATTAATCACATCTTTATTATTTACCGAGCAGGCAAGTACCAGTACGCAACGCCAGCAGACATAGTATGCATTTCAGTTATTAATCACACCTTTATTATTTACCGAGCAGGCAAGTACCAGTACGCAACGCCAGCAGGCATAGTATGCATTTCAGTTATTAATCACACCTTTATTATTTACCGAGCAGGCAAGTACCCGCAACGCCAGCAGACATAGTATGCATTTCAGTTATTAATCACACTTTTATTATTTACCGAGCAGGCAAGTACCCGCAACGCCAGCAGGCATAGTATGCATTTCAGTTATTAATCACACCTTTATTATTTACCGAGCAGGCAAGTACCCGCAACGCCAGCAGGCATAGTATGCATTTCAGTTATTAATCACACCTTTATTATTTACCGAGCAGGCTATTATAATATAATAACCGAAGACAGGCAATACTCGCAGCGCGCAGCAGACATAGTATGGCATTTCAGTATTATTAATCACACCTATTTATCTATTTAAACCGAGCAGGCCCAAGTACCCCGCAACGCCAGCAGGACATAGTAAATGGCATTTCAGTTTTATAATTCACACTTTTTATTTATTGTACGACGAGCAGGCAAGTTACGCGGCCGCGCAACGCCAGCAGACATAGTATGCATTTCAGTTATTAATCACACCCTTTATCTATATTACCGAGGCAGGCAAGTAAACCAAGTACGAGCAACGCCAGCAAGACATAGTATGCCATTTGCAGTTATTAATCACACCTTTAAATTATTTACCGAGGCAGGCTAAGTACCGCAACGCCAGCAGACATAGTTACTGGCATTTATCAGTTAATATAATCACAGCTCTTATTATTTACCGAGCAGGCAAGTAACGCAGTTACGGGCAACAGCCAGCGGCAGACATAAGGTAAATGCGGCATTTCCAGTTTTAATCCAGCACAGCGGGACGGTTGACGGGACGAACCACTGCGGCACGTGGAATGGGAAGGACCACAGCCTTTATTATTTAACCGAGCAAGGCAAGTAGCCTCGCAACGCCAGCAGGCATAGTATTCATTTGCAGTTATTAATCAGCACCTTTATTATTCTACCGAGCAGCAGCAGTACCTACAGTACGCAAACGCCAGACAGAGCAATAGCTATGCATTTCAAGGTCTTATTAAATCAGGACTTTTATTATTTACCGAGCAGGCAAGTACCCGGTGCGCAACGCCAGCAGACATAGTATGGCATTTCAGCTTATTAAATCACACTTTTATTATTTACCGGAGCAGGCAAGTACCCGCACGCTGCAGCAGAGCATAGTATGGCAATTTTGCCAGTTATTTAAAAATCAGCACCTTTTATTATTTTGTACCCTGAGCAGGTCAAGTACGCGTGGAAGGGCCCGCAACGAGCCAGCAGACATAGTATGCATTTCAGTTATTAATCACAGCCCTGATTTACTTATTTAACGCGGAGGGCGAGCGCAAGCTAGTACGCCGCAACGCACAGCAGGCATAGTATTTACATTTCAGTTATTAATCACAGACGGAGCCGGCCGGGCCGCCGGGGCCTCGGGGGGCGCTCTCGCACGCGCGGAGGAGTCCTTGTATTATTTTACCGAGCAGGTGCAAGTACCGAGTAGCGGCAGACGCCGAGCAAGACATGAAGGTATGGGCTATTTCATGTTATTTAGAGTGACAACAGCCTGTTGTATTATTTGACCGAGGCAAGCGCAAAGGTACCGCGAGCAACGGCCCAAGCAGACGAATAGGGTAGTGGCATTTCCAGTTAGTTATTAATGGGACACACTTGGTTATTATTTTTAGCCGTGGAGGCAGGCAAGGGTAGCCTGGCCCGCCTAACGCGGCAGCAGACATAAGTAGGTGCATTTCAAGGTATGTAATATTTCAAGCGAGCCGTTGTATTATGTTACGCGGAGCGAGGCAAGGTGAGCCGCAAGCGCCCGGGAGGGTCAGGACATAGGTAATGGGGCATTTGCAGTTATTGAATCAACGTGGACGTTTAATTGATTTACAGCTGAGGCAGGCAAGTAAGCGCCGGAGTACGGGCAACGCCAGGCAGGCATGAGTATGGCAGGTTGCAGGTGGTAGTTAATGGTGCAACGAGCCTTTATTATTAGCGCGGAGAGCCTGAGGGGCAGAGTACGCGAGTAGGCGGCAAGCGGGCCAGCAGAGGCATAGGTATGCAGTTTCGAGTTATTGGATTGAAGTCACACTGGTTATGATGTATTACCGGAGCAGCGAGTTGGCAGAAATGTCTAGATGCTGAAATGACAAGTTAATTTCAGGAGTGATGTTTGAGTGGGACGAAGTTCCGCGCCGTAAAACATAGCTTCATTACGGGATCGAGTTAAGATTTATAAAGGCAAGATAGACGGCATCTGTTTAGGGCCGGTGAAAACAGCCGACGAACAACACTGACATGGCGATGTGCCAAAGGCGCGTGGTGCTGAGAGTAATATGACCGGCAGTTGTGGGAGCCAGGAGCCGGAGCAGTTGAAGGGCTATGGCGTGAATCGAGACGTAAACATAACAACGTACGTCTAAATCATATGAGGTGCATCACATAATAGGGTAGACGTGCGGAGCCAGCGGGGCGAGGGAAACCAAGTACAGTATAGGTACAATAGGTAAACATATGTCGAGCAGGTGTGTGGAGCGCTGGGGCGGTCGTAACGGTGCGTCTCGTGTAAAGTGTGTGAGGAACGAAACACGGAGTGCGCGCGTAGGCCAATGGCACTGCCGCAGGTGAACAGACGAAAAGAGGATAGGGGTGCTGCTCAGTAAAGATCAACGTCGGCCGACTATCTGCCGGCCGCAGTGGAATGTGCGCTAGGGCCGGCGGCGACGGAGAGCTGACTGACCTGGTCTCGTTGTCGTCTGAGCCGTTCTCGGGTCAGTGGGGAGCAGTTGAGTCAGACGAAGATGAGCGCGACTGGCGGCCACGTACGCGACACAAAGGGTGTCGGTACGCGTCCGTTTCCGGCGAGAAGAAGCCGACTAAACTAGTCTGGGGCCAAAAGTTGGTGCGGTTCTGCGGATATGCAGGTTAGCTCTCACCCGATAGAGTATGAGACGGAGTAGCAGGCCGTAGCACTGTCACCATGAGATATATTACTAGTATCAGGTTAGGCACTTCGCATCTGCATGATGGATTATTATATTCGATTATCATGTGGTTAGGCTACTCAAACTCTCATAGATATTATTACCGATACTAGGTTATGGTCTCTCACTCCATAGATTATTATACGTATATGCAGTTAGCTCTTTCACGCGCCCATAGATATTATTAACGATAGCGAGCCGTAGTAAACAGGTTATCGCTCTCCACGGCATAGATAGTACCTTACGTATTAGCAGGTTTATGCCTCTCGACCATAGGGTATAATAGTAACGATACATGGTTATGCTCCTCTACGCCATTAAAGATTTGTTAATTTTGTAGTTATGTCGATATCAGGTACACTAGGTTAGCTTCTCACGCAACCTAGATATCTATACGATACTAGGTTTAGTCTCTCTACTTCATATGTTATTTTATATAAGATACAGTTAGCTCTTTTCATCTTATTTTTAGATAGTATAAACGATATCATGTCCAGTACTAGTTACTCTCACTCATAGTATTATATTTATCTCATATCAGTCCATATCAGGGCTTAATGCTCTCACCATACGTATATATTATATCATATCAACGGTTATGTCTCTTTCATCCTGCATACGGATATATACGAACATTCAATGTTGTTTGTATATTATATCTATTGCTTCTCATGAATAGCGCTGTCTCTGACTTTCCGGATTCTACCACTCTTTCCCCGGCATCACCTCACTCGTCGGTTTTATTGCGCGGGTCTAGGTTACTGGCGGTGCGCAAGCTGAAAATCTCGCGTGCAGGTAGAAGATATAACGGCCAACAGCGCGGTGCTGCCCCGGCCCGCGAACGAATCGAGTCTCCCTTTATTGACTCCTAATCGTTTTCATAGCGTAGAATTGTCTTGCCGACGTTGAATAATAATAAGATAATATTAAAAGACAACCAAAATAAGAAAAAAGTAACAGTATATATATATATATATAACATCATTATATACTGTTTATATATAATTGCAAGTTTTCGCCTTCTTAATTTTGGTTTGTTTTTAAGATGATTCTTTATATATTCAAATCTTAATATATCGCAATCCATTCTGGGCATAAAAAATGCGGCAATCGTGACAGGCAACAGGAAACATTCATTGCCAGTGTAGTATGGTGGAATAATACAATTTAATATTATATGAGAATACATATGATAGGGTATAAGTATAATATATTATATAACGCTTATATACGTATTTTAAGCCGATAAGGCGTGATGTCAATCATACTAAAACTGATTCAATCTTACTCTACTAGGTTCA